CCAGAGGACGCTACTCTGAGGACAGAGTGAGAAAAGCATTTCGTGGCCAGGAAGACACATCAGAGAAAGTGACAGGGGCAGGGGATAAAGGACAGAAGGACCTCTTCTCCCCAAGGAACTGGAGGGCACAGCCAAGTCAGACCACTGTGGGGACAGCCCCCACTGACCTGGGTTTTACTTTCAGAGGAGGAAACCGCAAACCCTTCCACTGCCTTGACTTGGATACCAGCAATCAACTCCCCAATTTCTCTCTGCTGCTCCCCTTCCTGAATCACCAACGTGGCTTCCAAGTCCACAGTGGGGGCAGAAGGATAAGGAGGCTATGGAACATGGCTTCAAGACCTGTCTGCTGGTCCTACTCAGACTCCAAATGAAAGCGTTCAACAACGACCCCAGCACCATGGTGAATGAGCTAGATTTGTAATCAAAGGAGAAAGTATGATCTTCGCCAAAATATTTGTCAGATGAGAAACTTTCAAATCCTCCTTGATTTACAACAACATGAGAAAAATGCCTCTGATGACGTGGAGTGACCAGTAAATCAAAACGAGCGTGACACGTCAAAAAATTATCTTCACTTCTGACTCTGAATCGTACGGGCCCTGGGGCGAGGATAGTGCACACACTGCTTTACAGGTCCCCAGCTGTTTTTCTTAGGAGTCTGAAAAACTAGAAGTCCCTGCCCATGACAAAGACCCTAAACTGTCTCTGGTGCCTACTCTCACTGCACTGTAGTGACAGAAGCCCAGTTTTCAGCTGGACTTGTGGATGCCACATATAAAGAACACTTTTCTTTCCTAGCCTTTTTCTGTATGCAGGTCAGGTCGAGGCCAAGGCTGTGAACAAAGAGGTCATCGCAACCTCCGGCATGAGCACAGCCTGCTTACTGGCTATGATGGGAACATCCATGCCTGGGTTACCATATCCTATGGCTGCAGAATGACTCAACAGGGTCCTTGGCACCGCAGGGCAGCACACTATCCCCCATACACACCTCGGCCTCCCTCAGCCACAGGAGAAATATGCTTCATGTTTAAGCCGCTTTTATTTGGGGATATCTCCTGCAGCTGAACCTAATCCTAACTGACAGAGCCCCAACCCTTGACACAGGTAACTAAATGGGGTGTGCTAAGTCTTAGAGCTTGTGTGCGCCACCAGAAACAGGGCCTGAGAGTGCAGGCTGATGCGAAGGGGCTGGGAATGGGGCAAGCGGGAAGAGCACAAGTCCCATGAGGTGACCACTGGCCACTGTCACGCAGCAGAAGAGCATTTGATGAGCACAGGCCTTCCATAGACCAGGTATCTGTTAAAAGCTGTATAACTGCAAGAAATGGCTCTGAAAAATCAAAATATCAGTGTTTTCAGGTCTTCTCCAACACTCTTGGTAAAGCTGGATGAGACAAATGTCCAACTAGAGCTATCCCATCTGAAAAAGGTGAGAAAGAAGACAGATCTGATGAGTTCTCTGTCTGTGACTGGCAGTCTAAGTTGGAACTGCCAGGGCTGTCCTGCAGCCTCTGCACGAGAGAGACAGATGTCAGAGAGCCCAGAGCCTGTGCCCAGGCTGAGGTCCAGTGCCTGGCTCCACCCAAGCACACTGATCCCTTCAGCCTAAGGGAGCCACTAGTACGCAGGGAGAGAAGAGTATTAAGGGCATAAAAAGACCAGAGATTTTAGGCTTAAAATCTGTTGTACATAATATCTTTGATTGTTCCTCACTTGGAACCAATCAGAGGCCAACTGACTAGAAGCATAGTAAAGTTCTGGAGGAGTTATCTCCACAGAAGCCATAGGCTGGTCTAGCATGCCGTGACTCTTCTGTCCTCAGAACAATGTCCAGACCCAAACTCTCCCAGAAAGTGTGTCAGAAGCCCCAGTTTCTCCAGTGTCCATCTCAGATGTAGTACAGGGGAGACCCTCCCGGAAGACACAGCCATAACCCATCCCATAGACCCAAAGCCAGGGGTTCTCCTGGGGTGTGGAGCTGGGCCCTAAGATGGCACCGGGGAACTTCCTGATTCCCAGTGCAGGAACCTGGGGATCGATGGGCTCTATTTCTACTGTGGACTCGTGGTATGTGGGTGTGCTGGGGCACAGAGCTCAGCTGGGGTTTTTTGCCGGAAACAAACGCAGGGCTTTCCACACGTTGGGCAAGTGCTCTATTGAGCTCATCTGTTTAACAGATTGCTACATCCAGCCCTTAGAGAGACGGCTATACATCTCCAGACTCTGAACAGGATCAAGGGGAAGGAGTACGTGGCCAACATGCCACGATGAAGGGGTAAGAGTGTTCTATGGAGGGGTAGGAAGGCATGCATGGGCATTTGGAACTGGAGCACGAACTTCCAAAGGTCCTCACTATGTACTTCTCCCCAGGAACAGAACTCCGTTTCTAGCTAATACATGATCCAAGATACAGAAAAGGTTTACAGAGGAAAAAAGTTTAAGAGTCTTATAATAAAAGTCTGTATCTAATTTAACTTTACTTTTCTTTCAACCCATTAGGAAAGAGCTGCTGAAATGCCACAGAAGCAATACATATGAAGAGAAGTAAGCAGGGCATGAACCCAGCCACACTGGCTGGCCCGTCAGAGAGGTACACATGGAGAAAAGCGCCGTCCATCTTTATGAATATTCAGAAACAGGAACCACTCCCCATGCAGCAAATCCCGTAACTAGCAGCCTCTGTGCTGCTGTGATGGCAGCGTTTGACTCTGCCCAGTGACAGCCACAGAACACAGACTGGCATGCAGAGATTAGCGCGTGCAGGGAAAGCAGAGAGCTGCAGTGTCTGGAGGAGAATGCTTCTGGAGCACAGAGCCACACACACGAGTGTTTCCAAGGCTGCCTCGGGTAGGAGCAGACAGGGCACTGGGGGTGGAAATCATTCTGCTGGTATTCCTGACACATAACCGCCTGTGTGTTGCACTTATCTCATGATCCTCAACAGCCATGGCCCCAGGAACTTCTTGTCAGGCTCGCTGACTCTGAGGGCTTCTGTGAGTAACAGCCTCAGCGCATAAGGAAGGAGCTGACTGAGGACGATTACAGCCCAGGCTGCAACCACTCCTTTGTACCTGCCCTGCCGTCAGCGGAGGGGCAACAGTTAATAATCAAAGCCAGCTCTCTCTGCACTCTGCAGGGACCAAATAAGAAGAGAAACGAGGCTGGAATGCCCTGGGGAAGGCAAAATATTTTTCTCTTTTATAAAAATAAAAACTCTTAATCCTATGGAAGGTTCTGCCTCCAGTAGTGACAAGCTTGGCTCCACAGCTTCAGTATCTGTCACACGCAGCAAGTTGCTTGGGGCAGAATTTTTGTTTTTAAGCTTAATATGAAGAAAGAACTTACTGATATTCAAGAGTACTGAAGCATTTACACAGGAGATGTGTGTGTGTGCGCGCGCATGCACGCGCGCACGTGTGTGTGTGGTCATAAAACACAGTTTGGACAGCAGGATAAAACTCGACACCTAATCGAACAGAAGCCTTGGCAGGATCCTGGCGCCCTCCTGGCAATGCGCTACCTGACCCCAGCTCAGGCACACGTCGTCCTCCAACATCTTTCGTTAAATACTGTGTGCCTTTTCACATGGGACACGGCCTTCTCCTGAGTAAAAGAGGATCCTGAGCCAGGCTTGGGGACGCACGCCTGTGACCCTGCCCTCAAGAAGCTGAGGCAGGAGGACTGCCACGAACGAGTTCAAGGCCAGCCTGGCTACACAGTGTGCTGAGGACCAGGCTAAACAACACAGCAGAGAGCCTGTCGCAGAGAGAACAAGATTACTGCAGGGTGCACCACAAGCATGTCGTGGTCCTTCCACACATGAGAACAGGCTTCTCTCTCTGCAGAGTGACTGCCTATGACAACACAAATCAACTCCATACCCAAGAGCTGGTCATTAACCTGGTGCCCTCCTCACCCTGCCCCGCCTCCGCCAACTCTCCCAGACTCCACACACTGATGCTGCTGCTCTGCTGACCCTGGGTGCGAACCCCAAGAACATGTTAAAATTATCTACCACTTTGGTGTATATGTTTGTTTGTTTGTTGAGACAGGGTCTCACTATGTAGCTCAGGCTGGCCTCAAACTCACAGTGATCCTCCTGCCTCAGCCTCCCAAATGCTGGGATTACAGGTGTGTTCAGCCATGCCTGGCCTGTTATCTACCCAGTTAGATCAACATATTACATTCCAGAAATAAAGAACAAAGGCAAAAAAAATTCCACACACAAATTATGTATCTGTCTAATCACACAGAGTCTCATGGGTAAACACCTACAAACTACAGATCCAGTTATTCTTGAGGAATCTTACATGCCTTAAATTTTGGTCCTATGTTGAAGGAAGACATTTTTCTTATTTCCTCCCTATATAACTCCAATTTTTAAACTAAAATGCATTTATTGACACTGACAAACTGGGGAACCTTCACCTATAGAACAGAATGAAAAAGAAGGGAAACTTGCAATAAAAGTAAATTTCGAATATCCAAATGGGATCACAGAGTGCTTGAAAAAATGTACTCAGTGTAAACACACCAGAACAGTTTTTAAAATACAATGTATTTCATTTAACCTAGTCTCTCAACTGCCATTTTAGTGTCTCTGCAAAACTTCCTAAATTAAGCACTTAATACTGATTTTAACAGCACAAAACTAAAGCAGTAACCTGAGCAATAATGCCACCTGTTAAACAGTTTTCATAATGCTCTCTTTCCCAAGGACTCTCAGAAAGGCCTGACTGAAGGGCGAGGGAGGGAAGGGAGACACAGCAAAAAACACAGAGATCTACTGGGCATAGTGGTGCGCGCCTGTAATCCCAGCACTGGGAAGGCTGAGGCAGGAGGATCATCAGGAGCTTGAAGCCAGCTTGGGCTGTAGCTGCTGGAGGACAGGATGACAGGCACCTCCTAGCAGGTTTGCTGAAATGCATTATGTTCCACTCCACCCACCCCGTCAGCAGTTACTGAGAAGGTGCTCAAGGCCACGCTGGACTCACCCATCCAGAAGACTCATTGTCGTGGAGGTCACTTCAGCAAACAGGATTATTTTCCCAAGGTGCTTGGTCTGCAGATTCTGTCGATAGAGCTCTAGGTTAAAATGTTCTGAGGAGAAGGCCTCTGTGTCAGTGACCACGGGTATAGAAGACGGGGAGATTTCCCCTTCCGGTGTATACGATGAAACAAACTTAAGGGAGAGCTTTCTGGATTTTATTACTCCTTCTGCATCCACATGTCTCCCAAGCCACTGCATAAGTGGATCCCGGATTTCCTGTGTCAAAAAAAAAAAAAAAAAAGAAAGAAAGAAATGAAGACTTTAATTTGGCATTTCTTTAGATGACGGTAGCTGTTCCAAAAAATCCCATCTGGGTAATATAAGTACTTCCTAATTCATGACCAGTAAAAGCTGACTGACATACTCTGTACATCTAAACTACTTGGCCAGATGGTAATAAATATACTGAGTGCTACGGTCTGAATGCTTCTCCCCAGAATTCAAATGCCAGAGACTTAACCCCCAAATTCAGATGTTAATGGCATTTGGAGCTGGGAGCTTTGGGAGGGGACAAGGTGGAGCAGGGTCTGTCCTCATGAGTGGATTACTGGGTTACTGAGGATGCAGGTTCAGTGTCACAAGAGTGGGCCTGCTGTAAAAGCCAGGTGGCCATCTCCCGGGAGTCCCTGTGCTGTCTGTGGACAGAGTCCCAATCAGCCAGAAGGCTGCCACCAGATGTGGGCCCTCCATCTTGGCTTCCCAGGCTTCAGAACTATAAGAAAGTTTCTTTTCTTTATAAATTACCTAGTCCCAAGTATTCAGGTACAGCAACAGAAAATGGGCTAAAACACTAAGTCCACTATAAAAATAAAGTTCAGAAATCAGGATCCAAGGAAGTAAGGACAGCTCGTTAGTACACTTCCTCTCCTAATTATGTCTCTGAAGTCCCTCCAGCTCCAGAGGTCATGAGTAACTCTCTAGGCCTCTGTGCATCTTACAAAATACTTGTGTCTTTATACTTCAGCCTCACAAGGAAATTCATTATCCTATCTGTGAAATGAATAAACAAACTTAAGCCCTAAGTGGAAGAAGTCACAGTACACGAAGCACTAAGGTACTAGAGCATCCAATCCACGCCTCTAGAGGACCATCGCTTCCTCTCCCAGTCCTCAACCAGGCAGAAATGAATTTCCCCACAGAGGAAATAATGGTGAACCCAAAGCTGCTTCCTGTTTGTCCCAAACCTGAACCCAAGAATGGCGAGGCAGAACCTAGAACAGACACTGGCTGACCCAGGCAGGACTCTCTTCCACCCTCAAATCTCAAGGGTGCCCCTTCCCCACCCCAGTCCCCAGAGGCCCCCAGAGGCCCCCATCTAGGGTGGCTTCTCCAGATCTGGGGGTTAAAGGGTCATTGTCCGGGAAGGACTGCACAACACAGATGCAGGCTCTAGGGGCATCCTTTGGAAATGCCAGGTCCCTCAAAGAAAAACTCATCTGTGAACCTCGGCCCCAAAGTTCCCCTGCTACAGAGAAGCCACTTCAAAGATGAAATTTAATTCAACCTAATCAGCCTTTGCAACTCACTTCTAGTTTGCAGAAAACAGACTACACGATTTCAGAAGAAAGAAATGCGATGTATTGCAGAAGCCGGGTGTCTTCAACAGCCAGTGTCATGGGGGAGGGTGCAGTGTGTGAAGAGGGGGCGTCTAGACTGGGGGGACTTGAATGACCCCAAGATATACAACGAGTGGTTCCTTGCTGGATTCTGCTTTGAATGAACTAGCTGGAAAAGACACTTTAGACAGCCAGGAAATCTGAATATGAATGGAATACTGTCAGTTTCAATAGGTGTGACAGGGTACTGTGATGATACAGGAAAATGTGGACAACTGGGGACAGCAGGACAAGGAGAACTCTCTTAGCTACTTTCTTCCTTTCTCCTTTAGCAAGGAGAAGTCTATTTTGGCTCACAGTCTGTAATGGTTTCAATCCAGTCTAGGCTGGCTCCGAGGTAGGGAGACATGGCAGTGGGACCTGGCCAAGGAGAACTAGCTCACAGCAGCGGGATGCAGAGACAGAGATCAAGGGAGGAACAGGAGAGAGACAGAGGGGCCTTCCAGGCCACGCCCCCCATGACCTGCCCCCTCTGATCAGGCTCCACCCCCATGTAGCTCTAAACTCGTCAGCTGGCTAATCCACTGATGAATATCACACCCTGTGGTTCAATTACCTCCCCAAGGCCCCTCCTATGAGCACGTGAGGCTTTGAGGGACATCCAGACAGAAACTTCCCCAGCACAGGGACACTTTGTGCTCAGTTGCTCTTCATAACCAAGGACTTGGCTGCCAAGGCAGACCCAAGACTTGCCCCCTCCCCACCATGAAAAGCACCCCTCCACGCTCCAGTGTGGCCCTCTCCCAAATGTCCTACTGTCCCTCATGGTGTTCGCATCAATAAATTTCCTTCTGCACTTTTCTGTCCTTGGTAAATTCTTTTTACCACTCCTATCATGGGCCTTCCACAGCCATTAAGCACACCAGAAAACAGCCTTAAGTTTTAGAAATGTGAATAGAACGGTATCTGTAATTTACCTCCAAAACAGATGGGAGTAAGTAGATCACATGTTAATAATGATGAAGCAGAAATGACAGGTATCTGAGGTATGTGTTATGCTATTTTCTATTCTTCTCTGCATTTGGGAATGGGCATAATTAAGAGGCTTTCTAAAAAGTAAAACAAACATAAGCTACTATAAAATAATAAACTCAACTGAAACATAGTAGTAACCTACTCATTTGGCAATCCATTCCATAAACGCGGCCGGATGGCTGCTACCTGGCAGGCCTTCATGTCACCCTGAGGATGCGGCACTGGGCAAGGCCTAAGTCCCTGTCCTCAGCGGGCTGACCCTCTGGTGTGAGTCGTGTAATAGAAAAACCAATGCGCAGCATGGCAGACAGTGAGCAGTGCTAAGGAAACAAGCAAAGAAGAGAGAGGTGCAGAGGGTCGGGCAGACAGGTCTTGCTGGGCAGGCGTCGGTCGTGGAAAGACGGGAATCATGGAGACTTGCACACAGGCGAGCTCAGCCAGCTCGGTATGCAGGGAGACACTTGCTTGTGTTTCCACATCCCAGAACTGCCTAACAACTCATTTCTTGGAACACATCCCCTTTACATGACAGACAACTGCAATTCTGTCATTTATGGTTACTCGAGAGAGAGCAGAGAGGCAGTGGGGTCACGAGGGGAGAGCCTGCAAAGCCATGGGGAATAGGGGGCTTCCAGGTGGGAGCAGGGGAGCCCCTGGGGGAGACCTGGCTCCATCCACAGCAGCCCCTCTGACTGCTGTGTGACAGGACTAGAGAGAGGCGGGTACAGTCACACCCCTGGCAGCGTGACAGCAGACACTGTGAAGGTGGGAATCCCAGCCTGCTCGGAAGGAGGGGCTGTGAGATGCACTAGTATTCAGATATTAAGAGAAAGGGGCTCAAAATGAGCCCACACAGTTTCAGGCCCAGCCACCTAGAAGGACAGAGTGAGCAGCAGGAATGCAGTGGAATGGCAGCTCTGGGGAGCACCGTCGCTGCCAGCTCTGGGCTCGCTGAGAGTGACACGCTCCAGAATCCAATGCGTGCATGCATGCGGGGGACAGGGTGCTAGGCCACTGTGCAGGAAGAGCCCCACACTGTGGGTTAAATTCGGGGACCATCAGACTACACGTGATCATGCAGGCCAAGAGGGAGAATGGGGTGATTAGGAAGCAATGGAGAGGAAGTGAGAAGGATGCCGAGGAGTTGGATCAATTTCCTGGGGATCTGGTAACAAGGGCCATGCCGGGGGGGGGGGGGTAGCAGGAATTTACTTTTGTGTTGGAGGCTGCAAGTCCAAAATCAAGGTGTCCTCGGGGCCACACCCCCTTCAAAAGCTTGCTGAGGACTGAAGGATCCCAGAGCTCACTGCTAGCCTGCTGTGATCCTCATCGGGGCCTTCAGGAGGTGCCAGCTCTGAGGGAACTTGTTAGTGCCACTTTCAGGATTCCTCACAGAAAGAGGAGTCTGACCCTTTCTGGCTGTGTGTCTGCCTTTGTCTCCCTGCTTTACCCTTCTGCAATGAGCTGCAGCAAGAAGGCCCCTGGCAAATGACAGCCTCCCCCATCTTGGACTTCCCAACTTTGGGAGCTGCAGGCCAATAAATTCCTGCTCACTGCAAAGTATGCAGTCTCAGGAACTCTGCTGCAGCAGCACAGGATAGACTCAGCTGAGGTCTGGGGAGGATCTCTCCGAGCCCTTCCCTAGCTTGGGTGGTGCCTTCCTGGGCTTGTGCATGTCTCGCCATCTCTGCTGCCGTCACCCCATGTGCCATGGCGTTCTCCTCTCTGTGAGTCCTGACTCTGTCTCTTCCTCAAAGGACGCCAGTTGGATTGGATTAGGGGCCCACTCTAATGACCTTGGCTTAACTTGATGACATCCGCAAAGACCCAACTTCCAAATAGAGTCACGTTCAGAGGTGCTGGGGTCAGGACTTCAGCGGCTCTTTCTGAGGGACGCAACTGACAACAGCAGTCAATGCTTAGGTGTGGGGAGGGAAGGAGAAGACTGCAAAGGAGAGGAGAAGGCAGGAAAACCCAGCCCGTGTGTGATGGCGGCAGAGGAGGTGTGGACTGTGGGAAGCCCGTGGGTCCAGATTCAAAGGCCAGAAGCAGGAGTAGGGCTGTAAGGAGGCTGTGAAGCAACCGGGTGCAGGACTCAGGGAGACGGAGCCTGTCTGGACTCTGACGAAAGGAGCTTCTGTCACATGACGGAGGCCCAAGTCTCCCAGGAGTGATGGGAATAGAAATGGCACAGCCTAAGGACAACATTCAGGTAGTTTCCTCTAATGGGAACGAGGAGAATCTGATAGAGACTAGAGGGAAAAACAGGACCAAAACACCTTTCGGTGGGTTTGAGTGGAAGAAATGATGCATTTTTGAAAATGTCAATGTGAGTGGTCCCACAGACTCAGGTGAAGTGCAACACAGCAGAAATGACAGCGCCAGAGGGTGAGGGGCTCACCCACAGGGAGACACAGGGCTCACCACTCCAGTGGGGACAGCCAGTCTTTTGGCCCCTGGGTTCCAGCCTCCCTGATGCCATGTTGGCTGCACAGACACAGAGGCCAGCCCCGGTCACAAGCAGGGCCGCTCACACCCTGCACAGAAGCTGCATAAAGGTGGGAATCCCAGTGCTGGCTCGCAAGTGCAAGGTCCCGGTACCAAAAAATAAATAAATAAACAAAG